GCATTCAATTTACCAGTTCTTACTGAAAAAAAAAATTCAAAGATTTTTTTAGTTGCAGTTGGACACAATACCTTCATTTATTTATTTATTTATCTATTTTATGTAGTGCTGAGGATTGAACCCAGCATCTTGCACATGCTAGATGAGCACTCTACCACTGAGCCACAACCCCAGTCCCTGAAAATTCTTTTGTATTTTAAAATCTGTCAGATTGTCTTAGTCTTTCTTCTTTGAAAGATAAAGACCTGCCTCAAACATTGTTGGACAAAAAGTCACACTTAAACCTAGCAGCTGTTTTTATTACTCTTAGTCATTTGATTTTATTTCAATCAAAATAATTTGGTTTTCTTTTAAGTCCTAATAGGTATGATTAACATAGGAACAATTAAAATCACATTTATTCCCCTGTTCTCAACCTGGGTGATGCATCTCTGGCTGAGTACAAGGGTAACTATCATGCTGAGAGCATGAGTAGGAGCTATCAAAGATTTGACTCGGGCTAGTGGCAATAGGCCAAGATACTTTGAGAGAGACTTCTCAAAATTTTAGTCCAAGACATAAGAATGACCTGGGATGCTTGCTATAAATGCATCTTCCAGGTTTCTACCCAAGCCCTGGGATCAAAATCCCCTGGGTGATTTCTATGTCCAGGAAAGAAAGAGACTTGTGACCATAATGCCTGAGTACCTTCAGCCTTGCCCTAATAGTATATAGGGCAACTCCTAGGACTGTTTTTTTTTTTTGTTGTTGTTTTACATTGTAAATTGATGATTTATGATTATATTGTATATATTTATGGAGCACAATGTGATGTTATGACTTATAAATACATGTAGAATAATTAAACCAAGATAATTAACATCTATTACCTTTTTTGGGGGGGAGGGTGGGCTGAGGTACCAGGAATTGAACTCGGGGCACTCGACAACTGAGCCACATCTCCAGCTTTTTTTTGTATTTTATTTAGAGACAGTGTCTCACTGAGTTGCTTACCACCTCACTGCTGCTGAGGCTGGCTTTGAACTCACAATCCTCCTGCCTCAGTTTCCTGAGCTGCTGGGATGGATTATAGGCATGTGCCACCATGCCCGGCTTAACTAGTTTTTGGGTTTTTTTTTGGGGGGGGGGATGAGAACATTTGAAACCTATAGTCTTAGAAAGTTTGAAATGTACAATTTATTATTATTATTATTATTATTATTATTGAATGGATTGGCATGCAGTGGATCTTTTTTTTATTTATACATGACAGCAGAATGCATTACAATTCTTATTACACATATAGAGCACAATTTTTCATATCTCTGGTTGCATACATATTATATTCACACCACTTTGTGTCTTCATACCTTTCTTTGGCTAATAATGATCATCACATTCCACCATCATTAATAACCCCATACCCCCTCCCTTCCCCTCCAACCCCTCTGACCTACCTAGAGTTCGTCTATTCCTCCCATGCTCCCGTTCCCTATCCCACTATGAATCAGCTTCCTTATAGCAAATAAAACATTTGGCATTTGGTTATTTGGGATTGGCTAACTTCACTTAGCATTATCTTCTCTAACTCCATCCATTTACCTGCAAATGCCATGATTTTATTCTCTTTTATCGCTGAGTAATATTTTATTGTGTATATATGCCACATTTTTTTAATCTATTCATCTATTGAAGGGCATCTGGTTGGTTCCACAGTTTAGCTGTTGTGAATTGTGCTGCTATAAACATTGATGTGGCTGTGTTCCTGCAGTATGCTGTTTTTAAGTCCTTTGGGTATAGACCAAGGAGAGGGATAGCTGGATCAAATGGTGGTTTCATTCCCAATTTTCCAAGAAATCTCCATACTGCTTTCCATATTGGCTGCATCCATTTGCAGTCCCACCAGCGGTGTATGAGTGTACCTTTTCCCCCACATCCTCGCCAACACTTATTGTTGTTTGTCTTCAAATATCTGCCATTCTGACTAGAGTGAAATGAAATCTTAGTTTTGATTTGCATTTCTCTAATTGCTGGAGATATTGAACATTTTTTTTTTCATATATTTGTTGATTGATTGTGCATCATCTTCTGAGAAGTGTCTGTTCAGGTCCTTGGCCCATTTATTGATTGGGTTATTTATTTTTTTGATGTTTAGTTTTTTGAGTTCTTTATATACTCCAGAGATTAGTGCTCTATCTGATGTGTAAAGATTTGCTCCCAAGATGTAGGCTCTCTATTCACCTCACAGATCGTTTCTTTTGCTGAGAAGAAACTTTTTAGTTTGAGTCCATCCCATTTATTGATTCTTGATTTTAATTATTGCACCACAGGAGTCTTATTAAGGAAGTTGGGGCCTAATCACACATTATGAAGATTAGGGCCTACTTTTTCTTCTATTAGATGCAGGTTCTCTGGTTGTATTCCTAAGTCCTTGATCCATTTTGAGTTGAGTTTTGTGCATGATGAGAAATAGGGATTTAATCTCATTTTGTTGCATATGGATTTCCAGTTTTTCCAGCTCCATTTTTTTTAAAGAGGCTATCTTTTCTCCAATGCATATTCTAGGCACCCTTTTTCTAATATAAGATAACTGTAATTTTGTGGGTTAGACTCTGTGCCCTCTATTCTGTACCATTGGTCTACCAGTTGTTTTGATGCCAATATCATGCTGTTTTTGTTACAATTGCTCTGTAGTATAGTTTAAGTTCTAGTATAGTGATACCACCTGCTTCACTCTTCCTGCTAAGGATTGCTTTAGCTATTCTGGGTCTCTTATTTTTCCAGATGAATTTCATGATTTCTTTTTCTATGTCTATGAGGTTTGTCATTGGAAGTTTGATCAGAATTTCATTAAATCTGTATAATGCTTTTGGAAGTATGGTCATTTTGATAATATGAATTCTGCCTATCCAAGAGAAAGGTAGACCTTTCCTTTTTCTAAGGTCTTCTTTGATTTCTTTCTTTAGGGTTCTAAGTTTCATTTTATAGATCTTTCATATCTTTTGTTAAATTGATTCTCAAGGTTTTTTTGTTTTTGTTTTTGAGTCTATTGAGAATGGGGTGGTTTTCCTTGTTTCCCTTTCTGAAGATTTGTCACTGATATACAGAAATGCCTTTGACTTATGGGTGTTGATTTGATATCCTGCTACTTTGCTGAATTTATTTACTAGTTCTAGATGTTTTCTGTTGGAACTTGTAGGGTCTTCCAGGTATAGAATCATATCATCAGCAAATAGTGCCAATTTGAGTTCTTCTTTTCCTGTGTGTATCCCTTTAATTTCTTTCGTCTAATTGCTCTGGCCAGTGTTTCAAGAACTATGTTAAATAGAAGTGGTGAAAGAGGGCATCCCTGTATTGTTCCAGTTTTTAGAGGGAATGCATTCAATTTTTCTCCAGTTAGAATGATGTTGGCCTGGGGCTTAGCATAGATAGGCTTTACAATGTTGAGATATGTTCCTGTTATCCCTAGTTTTTCTAGTGTTTTGAACATAAAGGGGTGCTGTATTTTGTCAAATGATTTTTCTGCATCTATTGAGTTGATCATAGGATTCTTATCTTTAAGCCTATTGATGTGATGAATTACATTTATTGTAATTTATTGATTTCCATATGTTGAACCAACCTTGCATCCCTGGGATGAATCCCACTTGATCATGGTGCATGATCTTTTTGATATGTTTTTGTATTAGATTTGCCGGAATTTTATTGAGAATTTTTGCATCTATGTTCATTAGAGATATTGGTCTGAAGTTTTCTTTCTTTGATGTGTCTTTGCCTGGTTTTGGAATCAGAGTGATATTGACCTCATATAATGAGTTTGGAAGTTCTGCCTCTTTTTCTATTTCCTGAAATAAATTGGAGAGTATTGGTATTATTCTTCTTTGAAGGTCCTGTAGAACTCAGCTGTGTATCTGTCTGGTCCTGGGATTTTCTTGGTTGGTAGACTTTTGATGGTGTCTACTATCTCGTCACTTGTTTACATTGTGTGTATCATCCTGGTTCAATTTGGGCAAATTATATGATTCTAGAAATTTGTCGATGCCTTCAATATTTTCTATTTTATTGGAGTATAGGTTTTCAAAATAATTTCTGATTATCTTCTTATTTCTGTAGTGTCTGTTGTGATATTTCCTTTTTCATCACATATGTTAGTAATTTGAGTTTTCTCTCTTCTTCTCTTTGTTAGCATGGCTAAGGTCTATCAATTTTATTTCTTTTTTCCAAAGAACCAACTTTTTGTTCTGTCAATTTTTTCAATTGTTTCTTTTGTTTCAATTTCATTGATTTTAGCTCTGATTTTAATTACTTCCTGTCTTCTGCTGCTTTTGGTGTTGATTTGTTCTTCTTTTTCTAGGGCTTTGAGATGTAGTGTTAAGTCGTTTATTTATTGACTTTTTCTTCTTTTAAGGAATGAACTCCATTCAATGAACTTTCCTTTGTATTGGCATGCAGTGGCTCTTTAGAAAACTTATTCCTCCTATCTGAAATTTTGCATCCTTTGACCATTATCTCTCCTCACTCACCCCATATGCCCTTAACCTCTGCCTCTTTGAGTTCTGTTGTTTTATATTCCATGTATAAGTGAGAACATGATGTGTTTGTTTTCTCTGCTTGGCTTATTTCACTTAGCATAATTCTCCCAATTTTATTTATGTTGTCACAAAGGGTAGACTTTTCTTTATTTTAGAGGCTATGTAATATCCTGTTGTGCTCATGTATCACATTTTCTTTATCCATTCATCTGTTGTTGGACACTGAGGTTGATTCCATAACTTGGCTAGTGTGAGTAGTAAACATATAAGTGCAGATGTCTTTTTGACAAACTAATTTCAGATCTTTTGCCAAATGTGGCAAAAGTGCTGAGGAAGAAGGGCTCACTTGCCTGCTTACATCAAGAAAACTTTCAGGGAGAAAAGAGAGGTACAAAGTTTAAATGGAACTCTGGATTCTTGTTTTCTGTTATTTGAACAATCTGAACTAAGTCCAAAAGTCTTAATGTTTTCTATCTCTACATCCTTCAGAGTATCTAAGGTGAAGGAGAATGTTACACAGAAAAGAGAACAAAGAGTCCACATAAACACAATCAAAGTCAGGGTGGCCAGTGTGCGGAAACAGGCTCTGCAGGAACAATTTGATGAATGGATTCTAGACCCTAGAGGAATGATTCCTACCGTAGTGGTAAGACAGCAGGTTGTATATAATGGGTTTGGGGGTGAGTGAAAAGAGGGCACTTGCTAGAATACTGAGTGGAATGCTAGAAACCTCCCTTCAATATTTCAGTACTGCTGAAGTAAATTAATCTTGACCTATGTGGTCAATGAGAACTGATTCCTGTAATTTTCTCATAAACATTTAAAAAAAATCTAGCTAGATTCCTAAAATCATGATTCTGGCAATGGTTTACAAACTAATCATTACAAATGGTTTACAAACTAATCATTACAAACGGAGATTTTATTTGTTTGTTGTGTATGTGACTGCTTTTGTCTCTTAATTTTAGAGAATAAGTATTTTCTTTTAGATGTGGATAGATTTGAAAATGTTTAAATTGTTAAATCCAGTGCCAAGTATATTTCAATTTAAGGTGCGTGATCGAAAATGGACCAAGGAAGACAAGCCACACACCAACAAGAAATATTAGCAAAAAAAACATTGCTGATAAAAGAGCATTATCCAACACACATACAAAGAATTCTTAAAACTGAAAAATACAAAAACGAATAGCCCTGTTAAAATATGGGCAAAAGTCCTGAACAGATACTTCACTGAATAGATACTTCAAAAAAATGCATATGTTAAATAAACCTATGAGACAGTGCCAAATATCATATGTCATTAAGGAATTTCAAAAATAAAACAGCAATGAGATTAGAATGGCCAAAATTCAAAACACAAAACACTGATACCACGCTGGCAAGAATGTAGAGTAGCAAGAACTGTCATTCATTGTTGGTGGGAATGCAAAGTGGTACAGCCACTCTGAAAGACAGTTTGTCAGTCTTCTATAAAACTAAACATATTCTTAAAAGACAAACACTAAATTATTTCACTTACATGAGATATCTGAAGTAGTTAAATTCAGAAAATAGGAAGTAGAATGATAATTGCCAAAGCCTAGGAAAAGGTGAAGGAGAGTGTTTTTATTTAGTGAGTATAGAGTTTCAGGTTTGCGAAATTAAAAGTTCTGGAGATCAGAGCCAGGCATAGTGGCATATGTCTTGGAAGTCTGAGGCAGGAGGATTGCAACTTTAAGGCCAGCCTGGTCAACTTAGCTAAATCCTGTCTCAAAATAAAAAATCAGAAGGATTGGGAATGTAGCTCAGTGGTAGAGCACTTGCCTAGCGTTTCCAAGGCCCTGGATTTAATACCCAGTACTGAAACAAGCAAACAAACAAACAAATGACATGGAGAAACTTAAGTGCATCACATTAAGTGGAAGAAGCCAATCTGAAAAGGCTACTTATGGGATGATCCTAACTACATGACATTCTAGAAAAGGAAAAAATCGTGAAGACAGTAAAAAGGTTAGTGGTTGCCAGGAGTCAGAGCGGGCAGGAAGGATAAATCGGTGGAATACAGAGGATTTTTAGGATAGTGAAACAATTCTGTACTATTATAGTGGATACTTGTCATACATTTGTCAAAACCCATAGAATGTAGAACACCAAGAGTGACTCCTAATATAAACTAGGGTCTTTGAGCGATAATAATGCATTAATGTAGGTTCATCAACTGTAACAAATGTACAATCCTAGTGCAGGATGTTGACAGTGGGAAAGGCTGTAGTGGAAGTTGGGTAGGGAGCATATGGGAACTCTCTGTACTGTTCTCTCAATTTTGCTGTAAACCTAAAACTTCTCTAAAGAAAATTAAATCTATTTTTTTAAATGGATCAACAAGAGCCAGGTGCTGCAGTGCACACCTATAATCTCAGCAGCTTGGGAGGCTGAGGCAGGAGGATCGAGAGTTCAAAGCCAGCCTCAGAAAAATGTGAGGTGCTCAGGAACTCAGTGAGACCCTGTCTCTAAATAAAAATACAAAATAGGGCTGGGGTTGTGGCTCAGTGGTCTAGTGCCCCTAAACTCAATCCCCAGTTCAAAAAAAAATTATTTTCAATAATCAAAGAATAAGGAAGAATAGAGGATTCTTAGGATGGTCAAACTGGTTGCTAAATGTGTCTTAGCTCCACCATGCCCTGTGGGGAGCCAGTCCAAATGCAGGCACCTTTAAGTTCTGATGCATCATGGGGATCTGAAAGATCAGTATAGTTTGGCACCTTAGTTCCGGTAGTGCACTGATGACTCGGGCTTTTCTCTCCATCAAGTAATAAGGTGTGGCCCTGGGAGTGGCCCTAGGAGTAGGCGGCACCCAGAGAAGTTGAGCTACACTCCCCTGTTCCCTTGTAATCCTATCCCTTGCCTCATCTGAATGGCTTCTTCCCAGTAAAAGGGTTCAGCACATGCTCCTCTCTCTTTCCACGGACCCCTAAGGTCGGAGGAGCCATCACAGGACCCAAAGAAAAAGGTATTTCTCTGTTTCTGTGTGGTTATTTCGTGCAGCCCAATTCATCTGGAGTGACTTTGAGTGTTTAGTCATGGAATACAACGCCCAGTGTTAGAGCATTGCTAGAAATGTATCCAGTATGGGAGCAAAACAGTATCACTCTCAGCATCCCAGTTCTTCTCTCACAAAAAGTTGGGAATCACTGAAGATGTGCATATGAAAGCACTTCATATACCTTGACATATTCTCTAAATGTGAATTGTTGCTATTTCTGTCCTTGGGTTAGAAAGATTACAGAACACTTAAGACAGAAAGACTATAGATGACTTTTAGTCTAAAATACTATATGTGTGATAATTGAGGATTAATTCTTTGTTCCTTTCCTTACCTTTTTTTTTTTTGTCTCCTTTTTTCTTTCTTCCTTTTTTTTTTTTTTCTGATTTGCAGATTCAAAATGTTCTTCATGAATTTTTCCAAAAGCCAGAATTCGAGCTTGGTAAGTATGCCTACTACTATGGTATTTTTATTTTTCTTTTTTTGCAGGGAGGGCACTGAATTCAGATGAAGCACTGATATTAAAACTGATGTTATTGAAAGCACTTTTTATAGATGAATTATGCTCTTCTGTTCTATCCATACAATATAGAAAAATTATCAATCATTCTCAATTCTTTTAGTCCAGTGCCCCACTGTATTGCACCTTTTATAATTTTTTTTTAGTCGTTGATGGACCTTTACTGAATTTATTTACTTATATGTGGTGCTGAGAATTGAACCTAGTGCCTTAACACATGCTAGGCAAGTGCTCTATCACTGAGTTACAATCTCAGCCCTGTATTGCATCTCCTTATTAACCTATGCCATACTTAGAGAGTTTAAAAAGGAACATACAGTATCATAATTGTTATTTCAATATATAAATGTTTGGTTACAACTTCACTAGAAGACATAATACAATAGTTAGACCTACTTATCATGAGTGTTTAGATATGTGGAAAGTAAAATTATATCCAATTGTGTGTGTATGTGTGTGTGTGTGTGTGTGTGTGTGTGTGTGAGAGAGAGAGAGAGAGAGAGAGAGAGAGAGAGAGAATCCCATGACAAGAAGAGCTACAAATTCAGACTGACATAGATGTGTTGTATTAGAGTTCAGACATAATTTAGATGTTAGCTCCTATAACACAATTCTCTGAAATGGTGAACAACTCCTAGTTAAGTTCCAAGATGAATTTTACATTTAAACCTCCCTCAAATTTTCACAGTAGTTACATTCTTGGACAATTAAACAGCAAAATTAGGGGCTGGGGGTGTAGCTCAGTGGTAAAGCTTGTGCGTAGCATGAATGAGGCCCTCAGTTTAATCCCCAGCACCAAAAAACAAAGACGATAGCAAAATTCTACTCTGTGTTTATATATAAAATAGAATTGAGTTCTAGATTCAAAATTGCTATAAGCAGATTTTTCACTTACTTGAATGTCTGACAGGAAGGGGAAAGCCTTAATTTTGCAGAAATTGCAGGGGTTCTGCCTCTACACCTACTCTCCATTATTGTAATTACAAAAACTCTCCCACAAATTCCCACCATGCATAGTGCCTGGAGAGTGGGACAATACAACTCCTATGGAGAACCATAGATTTGATGCATTTGTTTTTGGAAAGATTTCTTTATGTGAAACTAGGCGCACACACACACTCACACACACACACACATATACACACACAAATATGACTTTGTTACATAAAGAACTAGACTTTGAGTTCTGAGATTTACATAATTTAGATCCAGCTGATTTTTTTTCAATTTCAATTTATTTTTAACTACTTGTTACAATGATAACAATAGATTGTGACAATGTTTGAAGTCTGTTCTCACTTTTTAAAATGAAATATGCTTCTCTTCCTCTTGATCACTGGTCCCCAAATGTTATTTCGACCTTGTGTCAGTGACAACCTTTTTTCTCTTCCCTGTTCTCAGCCTATCCCAAAACTGTAATTCTCCTGTGAGCTCAATCTCCACTCTTGTTTCAGAAATTCTTGAAACAACTTCCTGTGTTTATTTATTTTGGATGGGGGTACAGAAGGAGTGAGTAAAGACAACACTATTGGGATGCTGATGAACATTAGAGAAATTCCAAGCTACTCCAGTTGATAGTAATTATTTCTCCTCTTTACTCCTTTCTTTTTTTAATATTTATTTTTTAGTTATAGTTGGATACAATAACTTTATTTTATTTTTAGTGGCGCTGAGGGTCGAACCCAGGGCCTCTCATGTGCTAGGCAAGCGCTCTACCGCTGAGCCACAATCCCAGCCCCTACTCCTTTCTTGGAGTATTTATTTTCTATATCATCCATCCATTCATTCAATATTTATCAAATCCTTCCTTAGTTCCAGATATTGTGAGGGGACAAAGAAAGCAAAGACATACTTCCTTTCCTTAAGTTACTCAAAGTCCAATCAGAGGATATGTATGAACATTCATAGCAGCTATTACTGGTAGAAGCCAGTCTAGTTTGCATAATTTTCTGGAGCTTAGAGAAAGGTCTGAAATGGGGATATTGGCATTTAATGCATAAGCTTACATGAGTCTTCATGGCCACAATAATTGATACAAATAGCAGTCACAAAATCCAAGAATAACTGAAAAATCTTTCCTGTGCCCTTGTGCCAGTCCAGGAGAGGCAGGAAGAGTTACTGTTAGAAGTAGGAGAAGAAGCCAGTTTGTTGGTTCATTCATCATGAGCTTTCATAGAATTATTTTCCTCTCTTGGTAAGATCAATAAGGATTACGTAAGTGACATATCAAATGGAAGTTTAAAAACGTTTACTTGAACTAACTGCCAAATTCACTATTGTTGACTACTCTGTTACTCATAAAACTTTTTGCTTAGCTTTTGTGATATCATTTTCTCTTTATGTTTTTCTTCTATCTTTGATCACCTCTTCCATTTTTCCTCTTGGTTCTTATTTTGCTTAAACCTTAAATGTTGTTTTCCAGAGTTTCCCTTTTGACTCACTTTATATACTACCCACTCCCTTTGTTTTCTTATTCAAATCTGTAACTGCAATGATGACTCCCAATCCATATTCCATTTCAAACTTTACCCCTGAGCTCCAGCTACTTATGAAAAGATTTACAATGAGTGGTAAGTGAAAAAGCAAGTTGCAGATCAAAATTATCATATTCATTTAGAGAAAAAATATACATGTCCGTGTACACATACACATATGGAAATGCATAGGAAGGGTTGCTGAAAGGATGGTAACAAGTTGGTGACAGTGATTACTTCTGGGACAGAGAGGAATGAGTGTGCAGATGGGGGACTAGGGGGAAAAGAGGATATTCACGTTTTGCTGCTCATATTTTTGTATTATTTGAATGTTTTACTAACCATATATAAATATTACTAGTTAATTTAAGAAACATTAAGGCCAAAAAAGATTTTTAAATGGAAATTTACAGAGGTGTTTTGATTTAGATTCTCCTAGCATAAATGCTAGCATAAATTAATTCAAATGTTTTTATAGTCTTTATATGATTGTGCATATGTGTTTTTGCTTTATCTCAACCCAGTTATTAAAAATTTAGCTTTATTCTCTTTACTGTTTGGGTTGCTGGGTTAAATAAAAGCCAGGAAAAATAATAATTCTGTAGTAATTGGAAAGCTACCCAACTATATATCATTTACTTTATGGTAGATATTAGTTAAGAAATAATTTTACATTCTTTTAAGTACTAGAATATAAGTACAAAATATGACTATATTATAACCAAACTATAACCAAACTAACTAGCAAACATTTTTATCCCCAAATTAGAATCACATTGCAAACAATTGGATTTTACTGACTCCGTAGAATCAGGATTGAACAAAACGGAATTTTCAGAAGTAAGAAGTTATATTATTTAATGTTTGAATCATTCTATTAGTTTCAACTATCTTTTAGTTGTCACATATACATTAACTTAGAATGAAATAAGATCATAGAAACTTATTTTTTTGTGTGTGTGTGTGGTGCTGGGGATTAAACCCAGGGTCCTGTGCATGTGAGGCAAGCACTCTACCAACTGAGATATATCCCCAGCCCTTGATCATTTTTTTTAATATTTATTTTTTTAAGTTTTAGGTGGACACAATATCTTTATTTTACATTTATGTGGTGCTGAAGATCAAACCCAGTGCTTCATGCATGCTAGGCAAGCACTCTACCACTGAGCCACAACCCCATCTCTCTTGATCAGTTTTTAAGGGATGCACTTTAAGATATTTTAACCCCTCTAGCCAGGCACAGTGGTGCATGCCTGTAATCCCAGAAACTTGGGAGGCTGAGCAAAAGGATCACAGGTTCAAGGCTAGCCTCTGCAACTTGTTGAGACTCTATCTCAAAAAATTAAAAGGTCTGTGGATGTAGCTCTGTGGTAGAACGACCTTAAGTTCAATCCCTAGTACTACAAAAAAAAAAAAAAAAAAAAAATTAACCCTCTGCAATTAGGCTACATATTAAAGCAAAGTCATAATTTATTTCAGTGGCACTCGTGATATGAAAATGTGAAAAACTTTCACTGACATATTCTGGTAAGATCAAGAAAAACCTGCATCTTATATTCAATAAAATCTAGTTATACAAATAATAATCAGATCTAAAACTTACAAAGCATTTTCATGGGCCAGACACTGTTCTAAATTTTCCATACATGAACTTGAGGAATCTGCTCAGCAACTCTTACATCCACTCTCTCTCTCTCTCTCTTTTTTTGTAATCTTCTACTGTTATTGATGAAAACATTGAGTTCAGAAAGGTTAAATAACTTGCACATGGTCTCACAATCAAATTGAGAAATTTGTATTTAGGTTGTTTGGTTTCAAAGTCCTTTTAATATTATATCTGAGAAAGTAGGATTCTATTTTCATGCAATAAGTGAAAGAAGCAATTTAATGATACCAGAATCCTGAGTCTTTTATAGTCTGTGTTTATATATTTTTCATGTTTTCCTATTTCCCCTTGTTTTTCCCCTCTAATGACGTTAGTCTCAAAGTCAAGATAATTTTCTTTTTCTTTTTCCATTCACCCTTGCTCTATTGAAGGTAAAGACTAAGCACCTTACACAGTTTCAGAGTTCTATATGACGGATTTCTGGAATCCTTCATTTTTGTATGAATCAGAATTTGGCAAATTTTTATTTTAGTCGTATTCTCATTGTGTTTTCTTAGGTTCTCTCTTTGCCATTCATTAGTCACAGGTTCAAACTAATAGCCAGTTACTTATATCTCAACTGTGATGTAGAACCCATACTATGAACCAACTTCTTCTCTCTCTCTCTTTTTTTTTTTTCTTTTTTCCTTTTTTTGGTGCATGGGACAAGGTGGGGGGGGGGGGGCTGGAGATTGAATCCAGGGCCCTGTGCATGCTAGGCAAGCACTTTAACTGACCTACACCTCCAGCACAGAGCCACTAATTCTTTACTAATTCTCACATGCCAAGTCAGCTACCAGGAGCTATCTGCTGATTGGCTGTTACCTGGGCTAAATCAACCCAAAGAGCTAGTGAATGGCTCCTATGCTGTAAAGATTGCCAGAATTATTCAAACTAGTAATTTCCAAACTATTTTCCCTGCTTTGCCTTATATGTCCTGTAGAAACCCCCAGAAAGACTCTTATTTAGGCTTTCCCTTTGCTCCTTCCTGCTTTTGCCTCCTAAACAAAACCTGATGATTTCCCTCTGGTATTGTATGGCATGACATGATGCCTTCTCTTGGAAGCTGTAAGTAATAAAAATCTTCTTTTAATGATTTTATTCCTCTCCACATCAACATTCAGTCACCTCTTTAAGTTGAAATCCCAGAATTAAAATTGAGATAAATGACTCAAAACAAAAATATGTAGAACAAACAATAATATTAAAATAATTCAGGAATAGTTGAGGCTTTATCACTTTATCCCCATAGCTTAAATTACTTTGCAAAATAGTGATTCTTGGTGCTACTTTCCTAATTATCTTTTATTAGTTTTCCTACAAGAGAACAATTTAGAAAATTTTTCTATTTTTTTAATTATAAGAGTAGTATATGAATTTTATCATATATGAATTATATCCCAATAAGAAAGTAATATAGACTCATTATAGAAAATTAAAGGTGGAAAGGATAAAGAAGAAAAAAATTTAAATCCATGATTCTACTAATAGTCACTGTTAACACTGTGATATCTTTCTTTGGATAATAACAATGGTTCAGATTTTTTAAAATCATGTTTTTTATGTGCCACAGACTGTACTAAGGATATTACGTGTACTTTCTTAAGTAATTCTTACGAAAATTATTATCCTCATTTTGCAAATATGGCAGGAAGATGGAACAATTTCCTCAAGGTCACCTGTGATATAAGTGACTGAACTGACTCCAAATGACCTTGTGCCACATAGTGTCTATTATATTCATAGTGAAACATATGAGATTTTAGTTTAATTTTGTTTTTTTCTAATAGAGTTTCAGTCATGCCTGATATACAATTCTGTGTTCTACTTTTTCACTTAACTTCATCTCTTGATCATTTATCTATGTTAATACTCTTTAAAGCATGATCTTGAACTTTTTTTTTATTTTTATTTTTTTACAAACAAACATCTTTGTTTGTATGTGGTGTTGAGGATGGAACCCGGGCCGCACGCATACCAGTCGAGCGCCCTACCGCTTGAGCCACATCCCCAGCCCGATCTTGAACTTTTTTTTATGAAAAAAATCATAGATTTACAAGAAGTTGCAAAAGTAGTACATAGTGGGCTTTGACCAGTTTTTTCAAAAGTTACATCTTGTATGACTTTAGTATAATATCAAAACCAGGAAATTAATATTGATACAATGTTTATGTATAGTACTGTGCTATTTTATCACTTGTATGTGTTTCTATAACCACCACCAAAATTAAGATACAGAACTATTTCAGTTCCACAGAGATCTACTGGTAGTGACATTTTACCAGTTCGAGTGAAAAATAGAAGCCTTATCTTCTTTTCAGTTCTTTTATACTTTTCCATTTATGGTATCATTGTCCTAAATATTTCCTATGCGTATGTCACATTAGACAATGTTTTTGTTTTAATAGTTAACCATAATTTAGAAAACTCAAGAGAAAAAGGAAAGTCTATTGTATTTATCTGTATTTTTTTTTTTCTCTTTTCATTGTTCTTCAAGATTCTCTCCCCCTCCCCCAAATTCTGGCAATGGGGATTGAACCAAAGGCCTTAAGCATGCCAGGCAAGTGCTCTACCACTGAGCTACATGCCCAACTACAAGATTCCTTTTTTTAATGAATTCTGTTTAGAGAACTTCTTTTAGAATAGGTCTTCAGAAGAAAAACTCTACTTAAAAGTAGGTCTAAATTTTTTTGGTCTTTCTAGATTACTCTTTTCTAACTACTTTGGCTACAGCAGAATTTTCTTGGTTTTGTTGTTATTGTTTCTCTCTCTTTCTCTGCACCAAGGAAAGGTTATGTGTGTACACACCAAGAAGGCAGCCATCTGCAATCCAAGAAAAGAGTCTTTACCAAACACTAACTCTACTGGCACCTTATTTGGACTTTCTAGCCCCCAAAACTGTGAGAAAATAAATTGTTCAGTTGTTTAAACCATCTGGACCATGATAATCTGACATGGTAGCCTGACATAGCTCCAGTAATTTAGTAATTTCTTTGGATTAGATTACCAGAAATGGAACAAGAATAAACATTATCAGGGTTTTGGTATCTGTTGTTAAATTACGCTGATTATACTAATTATTCTCCCCACAGTTATATAAGAGTTCTTGAAGTACCCATATTCTTACCCGCAGTAGCATTACTAAGTGTAAGAAACCCCTGCAATTTGATGGCATTTTGCTTTTAACTTCAAAAAAATTTTTTTTAAACTGGTGAGATTAAATATTTTTCTATGTTAAAACTTTTTTGTGAATTGTTCATTGATATTTTTTCCCTCCTTACCTATTGATGCTTATTTTTCTTATGGAAATGGAAATGTTCATCATATATTAAAGACATCACCATTTATGATAATAAATAATATGTTTTTTCTACTGTTTAAAAGAAGTAGTGGCCGGGCACAGTGCCCCTGAGTTCAATCCCTGGTATCAAAAAATTAAAAAAAATAATAATAATGGTGTTCTCTGATTTACAGATTTTTTTTCTTTTTTATGTTGTTCAGGCTGTGTTCAACTCGTTATCCTCCTGCTTCAGCCTTCCAAATACCTGGAATTACCGCTGTACACCACCACACCTGGCTTTAATTTACAGAAAATTTTGTTAATGTTTATGCAAACAAATACATAGAACATTTTAAGGTCTTTTCCATTGCTTCTATACTTAAAAGTTTCTTCCTTCTCAAAATCAACTAAATGTTTACCTATTTGTTTCTAGCTCTTTTTACTTTTAAAAATTAACTTGAAAATTATTTTAACAAATAAAGTGAGAATCTAACTTATTTTCCCCCTAAAATGGCTAGTCAAATAAATATGTTTATTGAACAAATTATTTTTTACAAGTAGCTAATTTTCCAAATGAAATTTTCTCTACATCATTATTTTCCTTCTTTCCAATGGAAAATAAAAGTAGAACACTTTACAAAATTTAAATGATTGAAATTTTTTAAAAAAATATTTATTTTTTGTAGTTGTAGTTGTCCACACAATAACTTTATTTATTTATATGTGGTGCTAAGGATCGAACCTAGGTCCCTGCACGTGCCAGGTGAGCGCTTTACCGCTGAGCCATAACCCCAGCCCCTCAAGATGATTGAAATTTTTAAAAAATATTTTTTAGTTGTAGATGGACACAATACTTTTATTTTATTCATTTACTTTTATGTGGTGCTGAGGATCGAACCCAGTGCCTCACATTTA